AAGATATATAAATAGATGGTTAATGATCAATACAAAACACATTAAAACCGCTTGAGATCAAATTTCATTCCATGAGGAAAGATTAAAAGCTCTGTTCTTTCATATTCAAAATTCTACTTTTGTGTTCTTGAGTTTTATAGGAATTTCGCTAGTGCTTAAGTGTTTATTTCTTTTTAAGACTTGATAAATCCTGCAAACCATTTGCCAAGAGTCCCTTTAAGCATCAAATTCAATTTGACAAGAGACAAATATTATTTGAGGACAATGATTACATGTTTAAGCATTATTATCTTTAAAGTTCTTGATTCTATTATTTTGTTTATTCTACTTTCCTCTTACTTGGAAATATAATCCCAACAAACAATGTTAATGGAGTAAGAAAAATTAGCAAGACCAATCAATTTGACTTTAGAAAGTAATGCAAATGTGAAGATTCAGTTGTATTTTCACCACAGAGTAGACATTGAATCAACTCTTTGTAGAAGGGAAAAAAATTGTATCACCACTTCTTGCTCCATGGAAACTGAATACATGTTGGTAAATTTTTAACAAATTTAGCATATGGTTGAAAATGGCACCTATCGTTTAAAATTGGTAAGAGACATTTCTATGTATGGAGTCTTGATTTCACTACAAACATCCTCGATTATCTTCGAAAACTATTTGTTAAATAGTATGTATTGCAAGTATACAAGTCGCGTACAAGTAATAAAGTAGACTAAAGAGTGCAATTGTTGATCCCATGAGGAATGTTTACTTGATTATACAGAAGTTAATTTAATTATAATAAGAAACACACAATAAAATTGTTGTTTTTGAAATAAAGAAATTAATCCAAAACTCTACAAAAATAATAGAAAGGGTGAATTTTAAAATTAAGAAAAATTAGAAGGATAAAGTAGTTGGAATTTATGATTTCACTTAACAGACACTTAATTAATTTCTCCACACGTAAATTATCAAATTAATCATTAAGCATGTTAGATCCGATTTATCTATTTTAACTAATTACTTCTATCATGTGAAATTAGCCTTAATCAATTGGTTTAACTTAATATATCTCTATGTTGATTAAAACGCAATCAATTGTATAAACTCTTTGTGAAAGTAGCTCAATGGACCACCTAAGGTTAAAAATATATCTCTATCTCCTACAAGAACATAGGGTTTACAGCATGATCTAAAATGCACGATATTCTCTTAAATATTGCACCAATCACTCAATTTAATCATTTATTGATCAAACAAATAAATAGCATGAAGTAAAATAATAAACACACATAAAAACAAGTACTTTAACATTAAAGCGTAAATATTAAAATTAATAAAGTTAGGTTACGCTATATCATAAATTCCAACATAAAGAATCTAGCTCATTTTGTATAAATGATAAAAAAGAGAAGATTTATATAAATACATCACGAATTAGAGAAAAATGATGAAAGAAAAACAATACTAAAGATGAAACGCATCTTTTGGTTAGATTCTTGTAGGTAACAAGGCTTGGTATTAATTTTCCCCCAAAATCTCTCTACTTTCTTAATTTTTTCTCTCCTCCTTTGTGCCCTTGGTTCTTGTCCCATTTTCCTCCAAAATTAGAGTGAAAAATTAAGTGAATGAAGAACGGGACTAATGACTGAAATTTTGCTATTTAAATTACTTAAAACGAGCCCTAAAAAGTCTAAAAATTCCCAAACATATCAGAAGTTGCAAAAATGGGGAAAGAAAATTCTGCCCCCAAATACACGGCGTGCACGTGTTAGGTAGCCCGACAATGCCTTTGGGCTACGGCAACCAGGATGCCCCAAGACGCACGGAACCTTCGCCACCCTCATTTTGCAGCTCGAATCCTCCAAAAATTACACGTCATGTCCCTTAACTTTTGTCTTGTACAGTTTGATCCTTGGATTTTGACTTTTGTTTCAATCACACCCTTTTGTAATTTTTATTCAAGGTCATTCAACTTCCAGGTCTTATCCACTTTGGTCCCCAAATTCATTTATTGTGCACTTTTAGTCTCTTTTCTCTTCCTTTTGCATAGTTCTCTTCCAATTTAGAATCTTAATCTATAAAAGCAATAATTAAACAATTATGAATAGAATTTTGCTCATTTAATCCATATTAAGCTTATTTAGGCATCCAATAAGTATATTAAAACACACTTATCAAACACTCCCAAACTTAAATTTTTGCTTGTCCCGAGCAAGATTATTACTAGCACAATCTAGCAATATGTGATAAAGATCAACAATATTATATAACTTGTCAAAAATATTCATGCGTAAAATTGTACAATCAATTCACGAATGTCTCCAAATAATGTTATCAAAAACAAATTGAGTTTATCCAATGTTTGATTGGTGTGTGCACATAGTCACGTTCAATTATTATCTAAACTCGAAAAAGTTGTAAAGACAAAAAAAAAAAAAAAAATTGCTGCCAATCAACCCTTAACGGTCATTTCTTTCCTTTCTGAATTGTGAAATTCGCATCACACATAAATACAACTCTTTTCTTTCTCAAGATGTTCATCTATATGATGCTTTCAAATCACTTATATCTTTTACCAATTTGATTTGATTGGGTCTAAACGGCAATTTCAACAATCTAGACATGCCATTATTCTCCTCAAAATTGAGTGCTTCAATATTTAAGCTTATTCTAAGTAATTGATATTGATTTTATATTTCGTAAGTATACAGATCAAACAAGTAACAAAGTGCGCATAAGAGTTTAGATATCGTTCCCACGAGAATGATTATCTAGCCGTTAGTTAAATTATTCTTAACTTCAATTTGATTGAAAACAATTAGAAAGTGTTTAGTTTCTTTTTATGATTTATTATTTTAAAAATATGAAAAAGTAAAAGTGATTTTTTATATGATAGTGCCAGGTAGCCCGTAGGAACTCGTGAACCTTTGCCACCTCCACTTTGCAACTTAAATCTTCCAAAAATTGTACACCAAGTCCTAAACTTTGATTCTATACATTATGAACCTTGAATTTTAACTTTTATTTCAACCATACCCTCTATAATTTGCACCCAGGGTCCTTCAACTATCAGCTCTTCTCAATTTCAATCTCCAATTTCATGTTTTTGTGCACTTTTACACACTTAGCAAAAACGAGAGAGAGAGAGATGAGATCTTGTGTTTCATTATCTTGTCTTGACGATTTTAATAGAACTTGAGGTAACTCCTTTGCTAGTATAAGGATACTAAGTCGCGTGTCATTGTATAAAACTCTTAAGTGACGACTTTTGATCGAGAATGGTGTCCTAATGTAATACAAATGTATTTTCATCAACTCTGAGGCAATATGAGAGGACATAAATACAAAAGGACATGAAATTGGTGAAAACAGCATCCTATTGTTTCAAAATGGTAAATGCCATTTATCTGAATTCTAAAACGTAGTCGACTCAAATTCTATTAAATTTGTCAATTTATTGCCACAAATTTTATTGATTCGTTGCCTCAAATTCTATTAAATACATCAATTCAAGATAGTGAAATACTATATCTAACTCTTTTTAATTATTATAAATATTTTCAAAGATAATCGATAATATTTGGAATGAAATCGAGACTCGTACACAAAAAGGACACTCACTCATTCTAAATAAGAAGATAAATATTTTTTTTTCCAATTTCTCGTCCATTTGTCTTTGTATCCACTGATATAATTTGTCAAAATATATTCCTACTACATTTAAAATCGTGATATGTCCAAAGTTGTTACTTAGAGGTCATAGAGTGACACAAGATTGAGTATTCTTACACAACCAGTGAGATTAATTGAATTTGTCAATATAAGATAGTAAAACACAAGATCTTAGCTCTTGTTAATATTTTTAAATGTTAACCAATTGAGAATATTTGGAATGAAATCGGGATCCTGTTTACAATATCCATTTTAAAAAGAAATGGTGCAATTTTCACCAATTTCACAACATTCCTATTATATTTAGACAAAAAGTAACGTGTTTTTTAAAGACAAATTAATAGAAAACTAACATTACATACCCAAATAAGTTTTTATTTTATTTTATTTTCAAGAGAAACCACTTATGTAATCAATCTTGACGGATAGTACAAAGAAATTATAAGAAAAAGAAGGTAATTTTGGTCATTTCAAGTAAAAGGTAATTATGACTTTTAATATATATACTGCTAAATATATTCACACTAATAAATAGAATATATTTTGATTGCATAAAAGATTCACAATCTTTATATATAGTCACATTTATGTCTCAATTTTTTTCGTCACATTCTTATTGTCAAAGGAATGCGAATTGCTCTTTATTACGATTTTCCTTCAAATTTTTTTCAAGATAGAGTAAAAAACTCATTTGTCCATTGTATTTTTAAATAAACGAAACAAAGAATAATGCAAAAATCCAATTAAATATTTGGCATCCATTTAAAACATAACAAGATTTTTGAATAAAAATAATTATTAATGACAATATTTTTTTTATAATGAAAATAAGAATGCGATGAAGAAAAATGTTAAGAAAATAAGTGTGATAATGAATAAATATTAATGTAATTAAACGGAGGCCTTTTAACCCCGAAAAGAAAATGATTAACAAGACTTTTGAACAAAAATTTTCTATAGAACCAATAATAATGCTCCCTAATTCGTTACAAAGTCCCTGATTGACTATTATTATTTTAATTTTTTTTATATATAATCATTTTTAATCACACATTCATACAATAAAATATTATGTATATAAATTCTAAATTTTTCTTATTTTTTAATCATACGTTCTTATAAAAATTACTATTCATGGCCTCCAAATAAGGACAAACGAATATCTAAACAAAGAAAGTGAAACACTTCTAGGGACATGGATCTTGGAGGTCCAGGATTTAGTTTGGTGTAAGTTGTGATACCTAAATATCAAGGAGGAAAAAAATAATAATTAAAAAAAAAATTAAAAAAAATAAAAAAGGAGGAGGAGGAGGAAAGTGAAACACAAAGAACTCGAAGTTTCAACGTAGATTCAGAACTCGAAGTTTCAACGTAGATTCATCAGCAACGCGCTTTCTCACCTCACCGTCTGTCTTCTGGAATAACGTGCCGTTTATAGCGTCCCTTTTCAGTATTTATATATATTATACATTTCTTGCATTAGATTACTTGAATCAATTCAATTTCAAATATTAGAACTCCTAATTTTGTGGTAATGGCAGAAACAAACCCCAAATCTCAACCAGAAGTTGTAAGAATTCGACCCCTCCCAATCTTTCATTTCTTGTTTATTTGCTGGCAATTTTATGATTTGTATCGAGGTAGCGTTTTGGATGATTTTTCCGATAAGATGGATGAGACCAAAGAGCAGAGGATGAAGCGTTTGGAATTCGTGCAAGTTGCGGCGTTCGATGCGGTGATTTTTGCTGCGAAAGTCTACAATTACACCAAGGACAAATCAGGGCCTCTGAAGCCCGGAATTCAGACCGTCGAGGGCACCGTCAAGACCGTCGTGGGACCCGTCTATGACAGATACCACGGCGTTCCCGTCGAATTTCTCAAATTTGTCGATCGCAAGGTAATTTTCTAATTCTATTTTTAATTATTTTATAGAATTTTCATAACTGTAATTTTGCCTGTAAATGAACCATTTGCATTAGGATTTGAACCTTAATGGGGCTAACCCTTGTCTTTACATGTAGAGATTAACCAGACTGTTTAAATGGTAAATTTATGACATTTCGTTAAGAAAAATAAAAATCAGACTGTTTAAATGGTTTGAAGGGAGCGATTCGACTATTAAAGTCAAAGTTCTTGTATGATTCTCGAGAATTTACGTATATTTAGATAATTTGAGTGCTGGAATTTCTTTTAGATTATTGTAATCAAGGAAGAATCCACTCATTCACGGGATTGAATGCTGCTGGAATGGCTATTAAAGAATTTATTTTTCTCTGCATTCAAATCATTCTGAATTCATTGAGAGATGTTAAAAATGACTGCAATAACATTTGCAGATGAGACAGATGAATAATTTTCGGCCCGCACCATTGTTAATGAGAATTTAAGAGATTAGCAATTATGTTTGTAGGTAGATGAGTCGATGAACATGGTACAGAGTCATGTCCCTGCAGTTCTAAAGCAGATGTCTACCCAAGCCTTCTCGACTGCTCAGAAGGCTCCGGTTGCGGCTCGCTCAGTTATGACAGTAGCTGAGCATTTAGCAGTTTCAACCTGGTGCTCTCTCAATCGGCTCCCGCTCTTCCCTCAGGTGACCAAAGTAGTCGTTCCAACAGCCAGTTATTATACTGAGAAGTACAACCAGTCTGTTCAACTTTCAGCTGAGAAAGGGTACAAGGTTGCATCATATCTACCGTTGGTCCCAACAGAGAAGATCGCGAAGGCATTTAGCGTTGATAAAACCGAGCCTGTGGTTTTGACCGGAGGAGCTGTTGAAGCAAATTGATGCGGTTTCCATTTGTTGCTATTAACATGGTAACACAGTGATATATTTTCATAAGAATGTTGTGGATGATGGAGAAACAAGGAAATGTTATGAAATATTTTGTTTTGTTACATCTGAGATAGGTTCCTGGTATGAATGAATATTCGTTTTGATTGTTGTCGTCTATGTTTACGTGTGTTTATTTCATCGTGCATGATTTGCCGCTTCTGCGGTATTGCTCATATTGTACTTTCTTGTGTTGCCTATCATCGATAAGACATGGATAGAGTAATCAATGAAAATGCGAATTCCAGTTCATGGGCAAGTTAGTTATCATTGACCATCCTGTCTACAAGTGTGTATCCATGTCTAGTTGTAAGTGGCTCCATTATGAATTAAAGGATTATCCTAGGCCTATGCGGAGATATTGTAGATAATTTTCAAATCTTAGGTCAAATTGGGTTCCTTTATTTTGAATTCTTTAATTTAGAATAATCAAAAATAAGATTCGAACTTATGTCCAATCGATTAATAGCCTATCATTTCTATCACTGAGCTACTATTGAACAACATGAGATTAGATCTCATAGACTTGCTGACATAGGCGCATTAGGGAAAGGGAAGGAAGGAAGGAGCATGGTCATGGGACTTTCATGGTCACATAATGGTGCATAAAGAATGGCATTTTGTGGCTTTTGTCCCTTTTGCGAATCTTGGTATAAAACAATTTTGGGATGCTTCTCAATTTTGGGTGCAAAGAAAAGATATTATTTGCATGCTTCTCTATTTGATAAAAACCAAGAAAAGGTAGTGACGCCAATTTTTTTACCGCATCATTGTACATTTGTATGTCTAGGGTTTTTGCATTCCATTTCTATTAAAAGAACATTTGAACTGCAAAAAGCTAAAATAAAGACTTGCAAGATATATGGGCCTGTTTGATACTGATTTTTAGAATTAATTTTTTTACCGTTATAAAGAAAAGTTGGCCCCACCTATGGATGAAGAAGTCAAAATGACGGCTAACCATATTAAGTAAAGGTCAAAAATTAATTTTTTGGCTTGAAAAATCATAACCAAACGGGGCATAATACCTTTAATGTCTTGTAGTAGCCCTTCTCATAGATTGAATTGAAGTTTTTATAATAAATTGAGGAATAAATAGCAGAAGTCCCAAAATCAAGTGTCAAAAATACATTTAGCGTGTCATTTAGTCCAGATTTTAATCCACTTTTTGACCATTGTAAAGGCAGGTGGATCTCATTTGTTGCAGTAATTATTGACTCCAAATGCGTTTATTTCCAAAAATGTCATTTTCTAAGGAGGAGTGAGTTAAATGGTAAAGTGTAGGGTTGTGCATGGTTCGATTCGGTTCGATTTTAATGAGAATCGAACCGACTCATTAGAACTGAATCGGACTCGAATTTTAGGGTATTTCATAAGTAGAACCATCGTCCAAATTTAATTATGGAACCGTTTTGGTTTGGTTTCATTCGATTCAGTTCGATTCCATTCAGTTCCCAAGTTCTGTACTATAATTTTTTTTAATATTTATAAAGGTACATTAATTCTACTAATGATATTCAATCTTAACTCTTATAAAATAACACAGTTCAATCTCATATATTTTTTGTACATCTCTTTGTCGAGTTCTTCATATTTGTTATTGTTAAAATCACAGTAAGATGAAAATAGCGAGCTCACAATAATTAAGAGCAGCGCTGTCAAACTTCAATTCAATTTCTTTAAAACGGTAGAATAATAGATTTTGATAAAATTTAGATAATTTAATTAAATTATGCTTGAATTGAAAATTAAAAATAGGAAAATCATATTTTTGGGATTGAGTTAAATTAACTAATTATCAAATTTATTTTAAAAAATAAAATAATTTTGCTTATTTAAAATAAATAAATTTAAAAATTAGGAAAATTCAATTCTTATTCGATTATTGATCTAAAATCGAGAATCGAATCGAACCAATCATTTCTCGATTCAATTCGGGTATTTAACTTAAGAAGAATCGCTCAGTTCGATTCAATTCAGTTAAGAAGTTTTCGCCAACCCTAGTAAAGTGGGAAAAAGATCATTCCACTTACTTCAGTCAATAATTACAGCACAGTGCACTGTATAACGACATGAATTTCTCTACAAATTGAGTTCATCTATACTTACAAGAAATAAAATACAGAACTGTTACAAGAATTTGTATTTGGTGACATGTCAGATCACTTTCCAACAAATTAGACCAAAATCGAGCTATGAGCAAAATCGGTTTCACCTAAATAAAAATGTTCATTTCTCCCAAATCAGTCTCTCTCCTCTGTCGGTTCTCCATCTTCGGCCACTAGCCGGCAAAAGACTAGAAAATTGTCATGTATTAGGACTAAGTGCTATAATATCTCATAATGGCAGTATACAAAATGTTACTTACATGGATAAAACATCACCGACTTTCCAAAATCTTCCTCAAGCTTAGCTGCCAACATTAGAGTATAATCTATAATCTCTATAAAATTTATCTCCACCGCCACAAGAAGAATTATCCAGAAGCTTGTTGCCTTATCTTGCCACCACCGTACTGGAAGAAGCTAGAAGGAATTGCCACCGACTATATCACCTATAAACATAGGCTGGCGTGTGAGAAGAGAGTAAGAAGAAGAGCTAGAATTCAGGGATACAAAGAGAGAAGCGGAGTTATAGACAGGCTGTGTATATGTAATATATGTGTGCTTAGGGGAGAGAGAGTGTTAGTGGAGTGAATTAGTGGAGGAAGTATAGATACAAGGTGCTGCATGAGTGAATTTTGTGGTAGGCTAAGTTGCTTGAGCCTTTAGTATGGTGTGTGTCCAAAATTGTATAAATTCCATTTCATCAATAAAGTTACATTTCTTTTTGAGTTCAAATTTAACAATTTGGTATCAGATCTCAACATTACATGGTTGTGATATTTTCAGAAAGTCTATTTAGTGGTATGTTTCTAGTAAGTTGATTTTTTATAAGATCTTTGTAACGGGAAGAGAACAATTATATTCAAGAACAGAGTAGGTCAGGTTTATTTTTTCATCGTCAATACAAGACTTGCATTGATATCAAGTCACATTGGGACTGATTTTCCTTGCAAATTACAATTCCTTAAGATTCCTGCTTGAATGAAAATGAATTACTATTTTATGAATGCAAATATATTATCATCTCTTCATTCCACAAACAAGTAAATACATGATGGACAAAGTTTCAGGTCTAAAATAGAGTCAAATTTTATGACATGTGTCAAGTTGATGAGAAAAAAGAAATGAAGAAAAAGGACTTACAAACGAGGTTGGACATGTTTCCATAAGAGTCGGGAATCACATCCCCTCAAAGTTATTATTTTTAAGCTAACTTCGATGCATAGAGGAGGGCAAGGAGAAGGAATGACAAATTATTAAAGGCGAAAAGGATTTATCTGATAGAATGACCAGTCCTTGGACTATAAAAAACTGAAAGTAGATAGATGTAGATGTAAACTAGAACAAGATATGTCAAAGTAATAGAAAAATATGTCCATAATGTTAATATATTACAATGATTCGCAAAATAGTAAACTTATGTTATAATAAACTATATAACAAATACAAATTGACATCATAGTACTCTTTCTACCACTTCCACCACAAACGTAACTCATATCACTCGTTCAAGTCGGTCCATTTCCTTTCCCATCACATTTGGCAATTCCTTTTCCCTTGCGGAATGTTATGTACAATGATATATCGACGTCTCGTTTCTCGGCATTGTCCAAAGAAGTGAGTGTTACTTCTACAACCGTGACAAACTCCGAAGTTCCATCCTCTCATTCTAATTGGAAACTGATGAAGAAACAAATAAAACCACATGTGAAAGGAAATGTGATTTGGCAGAAATGTAATGAATGAATGAATGAAATGTAAAAGAGGAAGAAGAAGTACTGAATATTTTATCTGCCATCTCATTCCAAGTTGTGTTAATTGAGTACAAATGAGCAACATCTATACACGAAATGAAATAACAAATTCCCGATAAGCAACTGGCTGCACATTCCTTACAACACATCAAGACACCTTAGCAGAAGCTAAAATAGAAATACTAATTATCAAATATCTTCGTACAAAGGAAAACACTAGCCATTTTCCAATTGACTCTTTGTTTTTGCACTTGCTGTAGCATGGGTCATCTCTTCATCATCATTGCTTGAACTTCATGCCTAAAAAACATGAATGCAATTGAATTACAAACTCCCACATTGCAACTTTTGTTCAAATACAGATAAATGGCTTAGTCACGCTCTATCAAAATTGAACTACATAATGAAGAAATCATAACCAACTTTAAATCAAGGTTCTATATCCCGGCTAAGAATTAATTATTTTTCTTATTCAGACATAGCAGAAAACTAAGAATTAAATTTTTTTTCTTATTTTTCCCCCAAATTCAAAGAAATGAAACAAAAAGAAACCCACAAAAATATGATCAAACACATTTGCATATATGAACATCAAACTTATAATGTTCCATTCAAATCCTAAAAATTTGGAATTAAAAAAAATTAAAATAAACCTTCGAAATGAAGGTAGCAAATATATGTTACGGATGAAGAAAACGAACCTTCTGAACTCGTAACAATAACTGTGAAAGGAGGACCTGAAATCGCATGTGGGAGATATTTGCATTTGCCAAAACAACGGGAAAGAAACGTTGCGATGTATGCTCTTCATTTGTGCCAACCGATAGTGAAAATGACGCGGCTGTCGGATTTGCTTAGGGTGGGAGCTTATGGCAAAAGACGGAGAGACTGTGATTTGGGGAAATGGGAAATTTAGGGAAAATGAACCATTAGAGATAGAGAGACTGATTTGGGGGAAAATTGGGGGAAATGAACCATTCTATTTTATTTTTAACACGGATTTTTTTAGGTGAAACCAATTTTGTTCATAGCCCGATTTTGGTCCAATTTGTTGGAAAGTGGTCTGCCAGGTCACCAAATTCAAATTCCTATTACAGTTTTGGATTCATTTCCTGTACGTATAGACTAACTCCTACAAATTCTTCTAAACACATGCTTGACTAGATTGCACAAATGACTAGAGTTCGAAAAATCAAGAACGACATCATGCAAGTTACAGAGCTCAAGATCGAACATGAAAATCACGGGAGACTTGCTCCGGTGGAAGGATTGGAAGAGGTCGAGATCGAGCCTAGAAGGAAATTGACGATTGATCGGGGCTAGATACAGCGGTCATGTCTGAACTACTAAGTTGTCTCTCCCGCAACATTGATGTATTCGCTTGGAATGTTGA